CGATCAAACTTGTTTTCGACTTTGAAAGCAACTCGGTAGCAGCTTGTGGCAACTCAAAGAAGCAGCTTCACATGAAATTTATATTTAATTCTGCTGTTGAAAATTTTTGTTATGGTACATGTACATGGAATGTTGTATTTAGGTTAACAAGAAGGTTGCCTTTGAGTTCACATGCCTCTCCCCCCCCCCTCCCCAGCCTGAATAGCAGTACTCACAAAACAGTTGAATTGAATCTTTCAAAAGTTTAATGCTGTCATGAAATGTTCTAAAAATAAGCATGGTTTAGCAGTGTATTGTTTAAAACACTGAAGTATCATTAGACATAGACAAGAAATTATTTCATTGCTTTAGGCTTGTGGTTGTGAGCTCCAGAATTTACCTGATATTGAACACCAAATAGGAATGGCCTGTAGCTTGTGGAGTATGCCACAGAATCAATTGGGATGGAGGCCTTGAACCACAGGTTTAGATTCATTCATCAAGGTATTCACTTTGTCAGGTTGACATCGAGATAGAGTGTTAGATTGTCATTATGATTGCCACCTAGCCTACATTTATGTACATGTATATGCCAAATATGGAGTATGGTTTCTGTGGCAAAATACAGCTTATGTACAGTTAACACTTGCATTCAGTGAATAGTCAGGAGATGTCATTGATCACACAAATATTTTATAAGAAAATGTATTTAAATGCATAAATAATTATAAATTTAATTTACCACTCTTATTGCCCACACCATAATCAAGGGAAAACAAATCTAAGAAATTACGTTTTACTGTAAAATGACTAATTTTCCAGTCAGCGAAATAAGCTAAAATAAAACCCAGCGAATAATTAACCGTTTTACAGTATCAAAAACTCTTGATGCCTTAGAATAAATTCCTGTTTCAATTGTTTTAAAGTACAAGTTAATTTTGACATTTCTCAAATTGGTTATTGATATATTACATGAGTTTAATAAATAATTCTACATTCCTGCAAATATCAAATACACAAAGAAATGTTTTTAATGTTTTATGTGAAATGTTTTAATTTGATAGGGTTTGATCTGCACCAAACTCAGACCATTTACCTTCCTAACCGGACATTTACATTAAAGTTACTATACACAACATGTTAGCTATTTTCATTTTCATGATAAATATTACATACATATTACATTTTTACTGACATTTGATTCGCAGTAAAGAAAGACAAATTTATTAATTAATATTTCTTTTGTATACTAATGACACTTGACAGATTTTAAATACTGCGCTCTTAAAAAGTCTCTCTAAATCTGAATTATAAATCAGAATAACACCAATTAGTAGGTCGTCTTAGTGAATAATTTAGAAAACGTAAAATATTCAACTGTTACGTGATTAGACACTGTAAATTGCCTTCTTTAACTATTATTAAATATAAAATGTGAATCTAAGGCACTGCTAGAGGTTATTGCTAATGGTGACCGACTGTTTCTCTAATTTGTTTACGATCGTGAGAAAACGTGTTAAGTGATATGTAATTGGTTTTGAGCACTCCATTAACACACTGAAACATGTGATATTTTTAGAAAAAATTATCGGATCATACATGTATATATTTACGCCAAGTGAATACTATATCGTGTGAATCTTGGATAAAATGTTTGGTGAGAATCCCATTGCAAATTTGCGTGTATGTTGGATTTTATCAAACGTTGTTTTCTCACAATGAAGTGTTTCAAAATTAAATCTCTATAATATATTGCATGAAGCTGATGAAAATTCAAATCTATAATTCACATTTTTTTTTTTTAAATAGTGTGTTAAAATTTTCATGCTTTATTTAATTTTGTGCATGTTGAAAATTAGTTGCCTCCTTTTCACAGTCTTACCTTGTATGTCTTAACAATCATGTCCTAAACATACAAAAGGATGATTGATGCAATGATATTTTCATTCATATTACGCCATCAGAAACCAACAGTGGAGGATGAAATCGCATTATGATTTGAGGAATTTGACTTTTTGTTGTTTGTCTTCAGATCTTTTTATAGGCCTTTTAAAAGCCACATGTGTTATTTTATTAAAATTTTAGTTTGAAAGATTGGAGTGCTTGATAAATGATTGATTACGAAAAAGCTTTGCGTTGCTAAGAGTTTACTCTTGACATGATTTCAAGTGCATTTGCAGTTCTGGAGATTGACAGTCATGTTGCCTTCCGAGTAGATATTTATTTATTTTATTTTATTTATTTCATACACGATTACCCAGCAACACCCAAAAAAAACAGAACACATTACATAGTAGTAAAACATCTTGAAGTGACATGTTTTACTGCAACATGTTCGTAGCATGTTTTAGAGCAACACCGTCATGATTTGATATCAATGTTTCAGTACAGATAAATATTGACAATTTATTTTTGGGTCTATTAAACTAAATATACATGTACCAAACTGCTGTCAGAACGGTTCAACTGCAGAGTCAAGTCTGCTTTCACTGATTGAATTATCATGCTTGCTCGGTGAAGTTGATTTGTTTATTCATGTGCACTGAAAATCCAGTGAACATTGTGCCTAATGTATTTTCCTACATGTAAGTACATATACAAGGCTTGAATATGTACATATACATTATGAAGGCACCCAATTTCAAAACGAAATCTTTTAAAAATGCCTTACTGGTATGCTCATTGACAGTATAAAGAAAGGGCACTAAGGTATTCTGGAGGGGTGCATGTGAATACCACTTCATGACTGGAAACCTGTTATTGCAAAGAAGCCTGCATTCTCAGCATTTTTTAGCTCCACTGTCGACTTTGTCGAGCGGAGCTTATCATATGAGTGATTGTCCGTCGTCGTCGTCCGTGTCAATGTTTTACTTTTTCGACTTCTTCTTGAAAACTACAAGCCTGAATGTTTTGATACTTGGTGTATATGTACCTTGGGTAGACCTCTCTTAGGTTTGTTCATTTCATGTTGATATCTTCAATTCTCTAATTTTGGTGAATATTTTTGTCATTTTTGGTAAAAAGTGATATTTTCGACTTCTTGTTAAAAATCAATAGTTCAATTGCTTTGATATTACATTTATAGGTACTACACGTGGACCTTTCTCAGATTTATTCATTTTGTGATGATATCTTCAATTCTTTAATTAATTTATTTTCGTGAATATTTTTGTAATTTTTGATAAAAAGTGATATTTTCGACTTCTTGTTAAAAACTGCAAGTCCGATTGCTTTGATACTATTCATTTTGTTCATTTTCTAATGATGTCTTCAGTTCTTTAATTGAAATGTGCATTGCTAACAGCGGAGCTATCTCAGCCGATAGGCTGCTTGTTTTTAGTTGAATTAAATTCCGCGGAAAAGACATTTTGGCTGTTTTGTATTAATTTTAATTCACTAATTTTTGATGAGTTTAAAGTGAAATATAGCAAAAAAAGTATTTTCACTGAATTTTGTTTTCAGTGATTCATATATACATGTAACAATGTGATGTTCTGTTATTTTCAGAGTTCCATGGACAGTCAAATCTCCCTGAATATAACATACACTTTATTGGACCTCTTACTGACTGGGAAACGATCCTCAACGTTTGTTTCTCGTGGAGCTACCCAGGTTATTCTTTCTGCACTGATAACGGCTAACCGAGAGCAGCCAGTGTGCGATGAACTCGTAGTGGTGCTGCATTCAGTACTGGCTAAAATTGGTGTCAAAGGTAATTCATCTTTTATACTGATTCCTAGTATTCACTTTTGCTCTATAACAAATACATCTCCAATAGATTATCTGTCATGCACACGGCTCCCAGTTCTTTCATATTTCCAGTGCTTTTATATTTCTCAGCTCGATCTCGCTGTAAATGTTACAAAGCTGTGTGAGAATTCAGTTCTCGACAAACTGTTTTTTGAGTCGTATGTCACTTTATTTGTATATCAGATTTTTCTGATTTTGACTGTATGAAAACTGCACTTGCCAACTTGTATCATGTTTTTCTCTATTACCGTAAAACCGCATTCCTAATAGATGCCACACTTATCCTTTTTTAGTACAATTGAGAACCGAAAATTCCCCATTTCTCATATTTATGTATGCTCTAATAGAAGCTGCATCCCCTCTGTTGCATTGTACCATTTCAATAGAAGCTACGGCTTCTATTACAGATTTTACAGTAGGTAGCGCATGTAATAGTAGTAACTTTTTAATTTTTTTTTTCTAGATCGGAAATTTGGTGTGAAAGCCAGATTAAGTGGTGCTTTGCCTATTACACTGGGGTTGGTTAGAGCGCATACTAATAATTTTAAAGTACTCCTTCCGGCTATTCAAGTACTTAAGATCTACTCTATGAATGGTAAGAATTACACAACAACCATCACTTTAAGATACCACACCACACAATATACCAGTTAGATTTGTCACTAAAAATGTCCCTCTGAAAAACTTAAATTGTGTCTGGAAACTAAAAAAAAAAATTTAGGGTAGTATTTTGATGCATGTCGGTATATAGTAAATCTGAAAAAGTCTTGTGATGTGATGTACTTAAGAATAATAATAATTTCTTTCCTCCTAGCTGTCAACTCATCATGTCTAGGAAAATCTGGTGCTGTGAGTGCAATGTTCAAAATCCTTGCAGTCTGTGGTCGGAAACATCTCAACATAGTCAAGTGAGTAAAGGAATAGTGGTTTACTTGTTCATCTTCTGGTAAACTATGTGTTTTAAAAGAATATCAAAATTAGCAAATTTAATTAAGTCATTAATAATAATGAATTTGTTATTGTACTTCATACATAATCTTAAGTTTCTCATGTATACTGTAATCCTTCCATTTATTTGATCATCAGAGGTGACTGAGTGAACAAATTATTTTTTTTTGGTTGGTGAATTTCATATGATGTGTAGTTTACCGGTAATGGTTAGCGTGTTCACCCATATTGCTGATTTGACTTATGTCTTTGGCTTCCCACTCACCAGTCTAGAAATAAAAAAATACTGTCTACTTGCCAGGCTCACAGCTTTCGGGGTTGGGAATATGGCGTCAAGTGGGAAAGAACGTAAAACTCTTGGTTCGGTCTACTGTTTCCTGTCTTTGTATTTGTTTAAAAAAAAAAATGGGAGCATTCTTGTTTCAACAAGTTGTGATTTACTGCGGGATGTCTGAAACTTACTCTCATTCAAGATGTGTAATTGGTGCTCTTTGCCTGTTGATTGGTGTGATAAATAAATACACTGGGTTTTAGTCACACGATTGTAGAAATAAAGATGTTAATGAAGTTTCAAGTGGAAACAAAACATGGAACGTTTTATTTCTTAGTACATGTAAATAAGAAAAGAACGCCAAGATGGATTGATAGCATAATCATTTGAATGTGACATTTTCTGCCAGGTGGTTGAATTACTAGAGGAAAATATAATTGTTTTAGCCAAAATCTGGTTCAACTTGCTCATAAAAAAAATACAGTATTTGTATTTCAAATGTATTAAAATATCGGTAATTTTTCTCAATATTATGTAATAAATGTGCATTCTAGTCGACTAAGAAAAACAACAGCCTGATTTCATATTTTTATAAATTCACTGGATTCAGTAAAATATTACCGCTAGTTGAACTATTCATAACTTACTTGCAAAATGAAAAGGTCGTGTGTTGACAATTTTTTTCCAGGATTATATAGATTTAAAAAAAATGGAAAACATCTATAAAAAATGAAGCTTAAAAGAAAGAAATGTTATCGTGATATTAACCATCAGGGATTATGCTGATAGAGTTGGCATAATATCAAATCAGATTTCCTTACACAACTTTATAGAATTACATCAAAAAACTAAAATTAGAAATGATTTATGATCGGATGGGTGTGGTCCACAACCTGTCTGAAGAGATCATGTGTCCCCAAACAACCTTTGACCAACAAAATTGGAATTGATTAAAAAATATAAATGAAAATACAGTATTAAATATATACAGTATTAGTATATTTTCGTTAACATTATCAAGGCCAAATTTTTTTTTTTAATTTTGAATAGAGGATAGTTTTAATAATAGTACATCTATTTCCTTTATTTATAGTACATGTGCCCATTTATTTAAATTTACAATTGTTTATGTTCTGTACATATAATTACATATTTTAATATATTATGTGATTGTCACTATACTCATTTTGGAACTAGTATGGGGAATTTTTAATACACAGTTACATTTGATGCTGGATTAAAATAGACTGCATCATCATATAATATCATTTGTATACATGGAGGTAGGCTATTAAAAATAAAATATTTATTTGGATTTCAAATTATGAAAGACACCTACTAGTTAAGAGTGTTTTTTGACCCCATTGAAAAAAGCAAGACAAAATATTAAATAATATTAATTAAGCAATTTGTCCATTCTTGTGATTTTAGAATTGCCTTGGACACGTTGGCTCAGTTAGTAAAATCAAGTAAGTATTGTGTTATTAATTACATGTTGTCATGTCAGCTGTGTAACCAGCCGTGTTGTCTTTTTGTTCTCGATGTGTGTTAGCATGACATGATGGGCAGGTTGTCTGTGAAATATCTCTGTTATGAGTACTATGTGTGGAATTGTCATTTGTGCTATGACAATCAATATTTTGTGTTGTGACATAATCTATGACATTTTTATCAAAATTATAAAACTAGTGTCAGTCCCTTATTTTTTGTTTAATTCCATATTTTCATTTTCTAGCCAAGATTCACTCCAATGAAAAAGTAAATGTTATTAAATTGGACGCCATTTAAATTTCATCCCACACCTTTATGGCAGTATATGGGTCTGTTAGCTGCAGAACATGACTCTATGGCATCCAAATTGTTATTATGAAAATGATTTTAAATGTCTTGTATCAATAACTTGGCTTTATATAATATTATTGTATTATTATATTATACTACTTAGGCTGAGGTAAATATTTAAATATTCTCCCCTAACTGACAAATATCTGGCTGGGCTATAAAAATTGTATATTATTCCTGATTTGAGTCCTAAATTGTCATTTAAGTGAGTTTCCAGTTTTAAGCTGAATATTTTAACATTTACATTCAATGGGTATTTTGAATCTAAAAATATGTACAGCTGACCTTATTTTTAGTTGCCTGTCAGAATCTCTATATCATGTTTGGGGAGCAAAAACATGTACCGGTAGATTGGCTCTATTGCTTACAAAAAGCAAGGTTTATTCCTGCTGTTATTTTAAATTTTAAAAATTGCCTTTGACCCTTTGAGGACACTTTGCAACACTATCTTGTATTCTGACACTGAACTCAGCTTTTTTTATTTCATAGAATTTAAGAGATTTTATTGACGCTTTTTTATTTTATCTACCACAGAAAGTAACTCTGCACGTGCCATTGGCCAGGGTGGTATGACGATATTATTAACGATGGCATTTGATTGGCATCGGTCAGATTCACGCAATAGACATTTTAATCTTCGTAAATCTATTCTTATTGTGATTAGAAACATCACAACTCTGAGTAAGTATCAAATTGTATCTGGCTTTCTCATACTTGTGTATGTAAATACTGTCAATTTGATTCTCTCACTTTCAGGGGTTGACCATTTAAACTTGGGGGGGACCAAAAAAATCTGCATGATAATTAGCAGAGAAAAATTCTATTTGGAAATGTGACAAAAAAAAATTAAAAACTATTTGTTAGATAAACCAAAAATTGCATTGATTGCTGGATCATTAAAATACGAATTATTAGACACCTTTGTCTGGTGAAGGAACATTATGCTAAAAACTAAGTGGAAGAAAAAGACACTCGGTTTTTCTACCATTTGCCTCTCCTGGACTTTTTGAATGCTCAGCTCTTATACCTCTGAAAAATTAAACATTAACAGGATATT